TATTAGTGTTATATTATATTTATCTATATTGTTGCTGAAAAGCCTTGTAAAAAGGAGCCTCAATAAATGTATGTATGTATGTATCCTAGGTTCCCAAGAGATTTCTTCCATGGATTTAAGAGGGTAATTTTCCCGGGGGGGGGGGGGGGGCTCCCCTATATTCGCTATACGGGTACGTGCCACCAAACAGGGTATGGTTTTCTGGAACAGGGTATATGAAATCGCGTTCGCTCTGGAACAGGGTATATGAAATCACACTCTCCTCTCTCTGGAACAGGGTATCCATTTTCGCAATACTGGAACAGGTTAAGATTTTCAGCGATCTTGCTCTTGAACAGGGTATGAATTTCAGCGATTTTACTCTGGAACAGGGTCAGGGTTCAGTGGGCTCCCCCGGGGTAATTTTAATAGAAGGGTGGTAGTCACTCTGGTGATGTCATTACCAACCTCACCTATTTGCCGTTCACTCTCTGACTCTGACCAAAATAATAATGATTATAGCTAGAAGCCATGGAAAAAATATTCTTCTATTGATGGGTTGCAAGCATTCCCAAGAGAGTGGCAGCCATTGTGGTGCCATTAACAAAGGATGCCAATGAGAAATCTTTTGTTAAATGGCACCAACATGGCTGTGATGATATAATGTGCAAACGAAGAAGAATTTTTTATACTTGCTATAAAATTATTGACTTTACGACATGACTTTTAAAAACAAATGAATAATTAATGAGAATCCAATCCATTCTGATATAAGAAATCAGGTCACATGAATATCATGTAAACACCATACCATACAAACTTTACTATGAATATGCTAATTATTAGATGTAATCACACGTGGAATTGCCCTATTTCATGATGATGTCGCGGTTTGTTTACATCAGCTAAAATGATAGAAAATTAGGCCTAAATTTAAGGTTAATTCTATTCTTTCGAGATATTTAGCTTAATATTTAGTTGTTCTTGCCTTCTCCAGTTCATAAACCAAATTTCATTGTGATTTAAGATGTGTTGTTTTCATTCCACCCCCTCCAGCGCCCATGATCCCTAGCATTAAAACAATAGTTTGTTTTGATTTGACGCCATTATGAAATAGGGCAATTATCAAATTAGCATATGTATTGAAAATGTACCAAAGGATAAGGATATCCTACAAATACAACTTGGACACAATTATGTTGTAAACATTTACTTGTCAAACTCATTAATAATTCATGAGAAAAACACAACAGAAATCACGACCGTGAAGAGTGTTGTAAATCTGATACAAAATTATGTTCATTTGCATAAACTTTAAGTTGTATTTTCTTGGCCAGATTCACTTTAATTTTGAAAATTTTAGAGAAACACAAAGGAACTAACCTAGACGTTTGATAAGTCATATACAGTATTCGTGTCCGTGTTGTATCAGATATACAATCACTCAGCTACGCCTCTGATACAACATGACCACTCAAACTGTATATATTACTTATGGTCAATAAGCATGCAGTCATATCATGCTATATAATAAAACATTCAATTGTGTATCATTTCATCACTCAGTTTTGGTATAGCACACACCTTTCTGGATAACATTGGTGATGTTGATGTCATCTCAGATGCAGAGGTAGGTTTAATTTATTGTCCAACATCTTTAACCAGTCTTAGGAGAATTTGTGTTGCCATTAAAATTGCCATATTTTTTTATTTCAGAACATTAAAAAATTATTGAAGATGGCTTACAGGTGAATGAGAAATTTTATCTGTCTATTTAAGCAATTAGACCTGCAGCCTGAAAGGTTTGCGCATCAATAGCCCATGAGATATACACACCCTATGCACACCCTATAGTGGACACCTTGCTGACGTTGAGTCTATTACATATTCCTAGCAAAGCAGAGCTGAGCCTTGTAGTGCACCGAATAGGCAAGACCCTATTACTGGATGATTTGGATTTACCTGCAATATTAGCTTATGTTTCACAGGTCGGTTTGTTCTTCTTTTTTATACTTATTTATAAAATATTTGAAACACAACCCACGAGCTGATTGGCTGGCTACCATGTTTATATCAGAGAACAGAGACACGCTCACTCCTTCAAAAATATTTTATAAAAGCAATATAAAACACTTGCTTATTTTTTTGTATTGTGGTATAAACACCCTAGGAGCTGTAGAGCACTCGAGAAGCAAGAGAAACTCTTGGCTATTCCTTGTGTTCCTAAGCTTGCTTCTCTCGTGCTCTGCAGCTCCCAGAGTGTTTATATCACAGTATAGAGATATGCGCACGTGTTTTATATTCCTTAAATGCTGTTTTGAAGATTTAAGCAAGTAGAGGTGGGGTGGAGTAGGGTGGAGTAGGGTGGAGTAGGGTGGAGTGGGATGGGTTGGGGTATGGTGGGGTGGTGGAGCTGAGATAAAGGCAGAGGAGAGAGAGCAGTGGGATGAAAATGGAAAAAGGAGAGATTATAATTTAAAAAATGAGAATAAAGGTATAAGGAAAAGAAGATGGAAGGATCATTGAATTGAAATGAAAAATGAAGAAAGAAAGAGGTAAAAGGAAGGAAGAGGGAGAAAATGGGAAAAATGAAAGAATAGAGGAAATAGGAAGTAGATGAGAAGAACAAAAAGAAGAAGAGAGAAAGAAAATGAAAAAAGACTGGCCAATGGTAGAGCCCAAATCAAGGCTGAGCTAATGTCTAAAATGTTTCATTATCTTACACCCAGCAGGCTTATGAAAATATTTAGGGAATCATATGCAGCCACTAGTACTTATTATTTACATGAGTTCTTGAAAAACATTTTCAATTATGATGGTGCCAGATCATGGAATTCTTTACCTAGTGATGTATGCAGCTAGTCCCTAGCTTCATTCCAAAACAAACTCTTATCCCTTGGCCTTACATAGATTTTTAACTTGTAAATTAATAAATGCCTTTTATATAATTTATATAATATCATAATTAAGATTTTTATATGCACTCCCATATTGAAAATCAGCTTAATTAGTTGTATATGTTAGCGTGATTAAATACAGTTTGTCTATCTATCTATCTAGCTGAAGAGAACAAATGGGAAAAAGAAAAGAATAAAAGGGGAAGGGAAAAGAAGGATAGGAGAAGAAAATAAGAAAGAGAGAAAGAAAAAGTGGAGGAAAAGTGATCGAAAGCACAGGAAAATGATATGGAAGGGAAGGTGAATGGAAGAAAATGATATGAAAGGGAAGGTGAATGGTAGAAAATGATATGGAAGGGAAGGTGAATGGAAGAAAATGATATGGAAGGGAAGGTGAATGATAGAAAATGATATGGAAGGGAAGGCGAATGGAAGAAAAAGGAGAAGAAGAAGAGAAGATAATAGGACAATAACATGACTTTTGGAGGGCAATTGTTTATTTGTGGCCCGAGTAGAATCATTTGCGCCCGAGCATAGTGAGGGTGTAAGATTAATGTTGCTGCAAGGGCCACAAATGAACAATATGTTAAACCAAAGTCATGTTATTATCATAATTATACAGCTTCTCATTAATCCCATATTTTCATAATAATTGGACAGGTCTTGTTGATATGGGATTAATTAGGCAGCTATATAATTAATAGGTAATGGGATTTCATGCTCCCCAATCAAAAAATAATTAGACTCGAAAAAAAAAAATCCTCGGCCTACGGCCTCATCCAATTTTGGAAGTCCTCAGAATTTTTCTTGCCAATTATTTCTTAATTGGACAGCATGGAGTCCTATAACATATACTTATCATCAATATACTAGGCCAAGTTAAGCAGATTTTCAAAGTTGCTGTACAAGACTTTTGGAGTTGAATCTTTGGCGGGCTGCTTTGTGGCCCGCCAAAATCCATTATTGCTCAAGAGGGCAGTTTGTTGTTTGGCCTTGTATATTGATGATAATAGGAAGTTATACTGTCGTTGAATCAAAATATGATGACCTATTTGGATAACTATTGTTCTGGATTGACTAGCCTCTCATATATGTGAAAATGCTTTGATGCTTTCACCCCAACATAAGGCTAGTCAGTAGCTACTTAGTTCAGAACAATAGCTTCTGGGAGGATTTTTGAGATGAGCCTTGTTAACAGCATGTTTGAAATTTTCCAGACTAAAAACTC